CATTTAAATAATTTTATTTTCGTGCAAATATAAAAATATTGAAATATGAAAAAATATTCAGGCAAATGATTTCAAATTCTTACTTGGTAATAGTAGTTATGATTTCGCTTTAACGACAGCATATTATTTTTTATTTCCAAGCACATTGTAGATTTTTCTTCTACTGCTTACCTAAGTCTTTTTTTTTTGATTTGTGAACACTATGAAGGCATTTTATTTCAATAATAGCATTATCCCCTAAAAGAGCTATACAAAAATAATATGATTAATAAAATGACATGACGTATATGTATATTATTTCTTATATCGAAAAAAAAAAAACTTCCTGAAAATTTGAGCCCTTAATTTCAATTTTAAGTGCTTACTTTCGATTGATGTATATTTCCCATTTGAATAACATGTAAAACATGATTTTTTTAATTTAAATTAATATAGCTCCCTTTGATTTCAAGGTATTCCATTGCGATTAGTCAGAATTTGTAGTATATTAGTGACTCTTTGAAAGTGCCCACTAACATTTTTTTGTACTTTAACCCGTTTCATCGGTGCCGGCCTCGAAAGCTCAATTTTCTCAAAAATTGTTATATTTTCGTTCTTATCAACAAAACAGTTGAAGTTATAAAAAAATTGCCATAAAACAATTTGTAGGAAATTAAATTTTCTACAAAAATACCCCTGTATGGATTTTCTGAGGTGCGTAGTCCAAAAGGTATAAACAGTTTAATGGGGTAACCCACCCTCCACACGTTACAGATACAGAGATGTATGTATATCTAATGTATGGGTTTTTACTTCTGATTCAACTGTTTTTGAAACACCACCTGCTGCAAAAAAAACATTGCAGTAAGTAATAAAAGTAATAACTAATCATAAATGAAATTTTAGTCAATAAAATTAAGGTATTTAATATATTAAAAACGTTATTTTAAAAATTTTTACAGTTTTTTTACGATATTTTTTGCCATACCATGTTTTTTTGTAATTATTAATTAAAAAATTATATATTTTTAGGACAGTGTTTCATTTAGATACCCCTACCTACTTTAAATTTTAAATAATTTAAGTTAACATCATATCAGGCAAATATATAGTAAATGCCAATAAACTATAATCCAATAAATATTAAAAATCGAAAGGTAACTTGAGTTCTCTTGTATTTGAATTTACTTGTATTACTTGTATTACTAACGATATACCTACTTATTTAAATATTTACGTATTTCTTTATCATACTACTCTGACAATACTCTTAAGTTTTAAACTCTACGCCACTAGCGAGCATATTATGGATACTGTTTACAACGTTGCCAGCCGGTCCTAAGAGATCTGCTTTTCTTTCTTCCACTCACTAACAATTTTATAACAATAACAGTCCGCAATTATATGGGATTTATGAATGAAATATTTTGTCTCTATGTTGTAATGTCTGGTGAAAACAAATATAAGTATCACAGACAAAACTACGCCTGATCCTTTAAAACTATGACGATGAAAGAGACTAAAATTAACATTAATTAAAACACACAAATGAAGAAACATATAATTTACTATTAGTAAAGGAGCAAAGCAAGGAGATTGGCTATCAATGTAGCTGTTTAATTTCGACCTTCAGATAAAGTGTCAGTTAATTTTTATATCTCAGATAACTTATAAACTCATCTTTTTACTTTTGCATAAAACTAACCGTCAGATAAATAGGTCTAATCTGAAATCCTTCCTATCAACTTCCCGATTATGGCGTGTAAAGGTAAGGAGAACTATCTTTGTGTCCCTCAAAATTTTTAAAATTAAGATGTCGCTTCTGTACCAGAGAGACGATCACAGTCGATAGTTCAGAGCACACAATCACATCAATGATGTATATACTTTATGAAGACTGCAGATAAGAAGGCGAATCGGCATACTCAAAATACGGTCTCAAAAAATGCTCGCTAATTGAGCTTTTATAATTAAACGCATGTGCGTTGGTGCTACTTACAGTGTTCAAATTGCATGGCTTCTTATAGAAATTATACATAATTTTGTCAAAATAAAAAAAAACTTGTTTATAGCTAAATAAAGAACAGAACATACTGTGGTATTTATTTCTACATAAGTCTTGCATGTTCTAATTGATAAATTATTTAATTTTGTCTATATAAAATACAAATTAGGTAGGTATGACCAAATTTGAAATGGTTTGTTAAATGCTGTAATTTGATAAGTACAATTTTGTGATTTTTTTTTTTTGAATTGAACCTATATATAGTTTAAGAGCAAAATAAAACACATTAAACATATTTTTTATTGTTGTAATACAAGTATAAAGGGAAATTTGCGAATGTACATGGTATTACCTCATCCTTTAATTTCAGGTTTCCCCATTTTATTTTGCTAACAGTACCATCGGTAAAAATAGTCTCATAATATTTAATAATATCTTCCAAAAAGTATAGAACAGCATCATCTCTAAAAAGTGCTTTATCGGAACTAGGGACGATATATATGCTGCCACTGTTCTAAGCATTTAGTATCCTATAAAAAACATTTACAATGACACAATTGGGGTTCAGCAAAAAAATTACAATAGCGAATCTTTATCTAACATTAGGTAAAACTCTATAAACAATGAATTTTCTTTTCTAGTAAATTAAATTTAATGTATAATTATTGTTGTTAGTAAATCAGGATCTATGACTGTAAAATTTTATATTATAGAAACTTGTAATAAATTAAACTCTATTCCGTAATATACATATTGTGACTAGTTTACAATACATATTATATTTAGAAATAAATACATTATTTTACTTATATTAGAAGCTTTAAAAAGACATTCAATTGATTTCTCCTTGTGTTTTCTTCAGTTTTACATATGATTTGTATCCTGTTTTACAATCTGGAACGACGTAAATCTTGCTTTAATGTTTTTCGTCACTCATGTGGTAATTTTTTTTCACATTATTTTGATTCTTTTCACCAATTTTTTAAAAAAATCACTTTATTTAAAATTGGCTTACATAGAAAATTGATACCGCTGTTATTCGACATGTCAACTACAGTCACTTTCGCGTACTTTATAAAAAAAAAAAGAACGGAAATTTAAAATTTGAGTATTGCCGATTCGCCTCCTTCTCTCTAGTCTTCATAATATAGTTAGGGTAATGTTGTATAAGAGTACGTATGAGTATAAGAGTACGCACGCTTATTTTTAATACATATCGCCATCTATTAAATTGTCTATGCAGTCAGTTATGTTCCAAATAGCATACGACACTGGATACAAAAATAGACATCTACATTATCGACACATCTGTTTTAAAAATGGCCGAGAAGTGGGTTGGCGATCTAATTGTTGGTGCTTGATAATTAGTATTTTGTGAGGTACCTGCGAACGTTACAGGTTAGTAAACGTTATTGTATGTTTTTTTAAAATATTGTTATTGTTCGTGTGGCTAAAATTTAGCAAGAAGTAGGTTAATAATAAAGATATTAATCAAAATCTAAAATTATCAACATATGTACAAGAGTACGTAGTAAGTAATAATGCTCTAGTGAATATAGCATAGAAATCAACTTTTTTTTTTCAGATTAACAAATTTGAAATTTGAAAAGAAAAAGTGAGCGGAAGCTAGTGTTTACCGAAGGCAATATGAAAGAGATTAGGCAAAAAATTGCAGATGGTTTTAGCAAAAGAAGTATAGCCAGGGAAATGGGAATAAATGAAGCAACACTAAGAAAACGGTTAAAAGCAGGAACCATCCCCAGCTCCTTAGGATGATTCAAAACTGATATACCTTTAGATATGGAGGCTGACTTAGCCTAACAATTAAGGGACCTGGATCTTAGATTTTATGGGATTATCAAGAAAGATTTGAAAATAGCGACTTATAAGTTTGCCGAAGCTAACAAACTTCAGCACAGGTTCAGCAATATTAAAAAAATGGCAGCTGAGTTGTGAGTAAAAGGGTTCTCTCAAAGACACAAAATAGTACTTCGAAAGCCAGAAAAATGTTCAATGGGACGAATAATGGGTTTCAATAAAAGCCAGGTAGATCGGTTTTTAAAAATCCTAAGACCCTTTATGAAAAAAGAAACTAGGTACCTACCAAATTCAATATACAACATGGACGAAACAGGGGTATCCACAGTACCTAATAGATTACCCAAGGTTTTATCCAGCAAAGGCAAAAAACTGGTCGGAAAAGTAGCAAGTGCAGATCGGGGACAGCTCGTTACAGCGGTGTGTTGTTTTAGCATTACGGGGACATATATTCCTCCTACTACGATATTTCCCAGAAAACAAATGAAAGATGAGCTCTTTTTAAATGCACCTACTGGTATCTGTAAAATGATATCGGACTCTAGGTTTATAAACAGAATTATTTTGTCAGTGGTTGCGGCATTTCAAAAGCTACAGCAAACCTAGTGCCGAAAATCAAGTACTGTTGATTCTCGACAACCATTCATCTCACCGTGATCTAGATGCAATAAACTTCTGCAGGGATAACCATATTGATTTACTCTCCCTACCACCTCATGCAAGCCACAGGATGCAACCGCTGAATTTTGGTTTTTTTGGCCCATTAAAGTGTGCTTACAGTAGAGAGTGTGATAAGTGAATAGTAAGTAACCCTGGAAAGGTAATAACGCAGATGCAAGTTGCCGGACTATTTAAACAGGCTTACACCAGCGGCGCCAATATTGGAAAATCAGAAAACTCATTCAGAGCTTCCGGAATATATCCCTATAATCCGGATCAGTTTAACGATGATGATTTTGCCCCTTCCTGTGTGACAGACGCACTCATCACTACGCCAGACGCACCCATTAATACGACAGACGCACCCAATTATACAGAGAATGGCCAGCTCAATGATGAAGTCGTGGTGGAAATAGATGATCCCGAACCTTCCACGAGTATTCCGATACATGTAACACCTCCACCGCTGGATATTGCCTGCCTTGATATAGTCTGTGAAGACGGGGTACTTATATCAAAAAATTCATCTTCTTTTGAGGAAAAGGCTTTAAATCGGTCGATCCCAGCTTCAGAAATTTTACCTTTGCCGCAAATAAAAGAAAAACCAAATCGCTCTAAATCAAGATCACAAAAATCCGAAATACTCTCTAGTACTCCATTTAAGGATGAACTTGAAGAACTTGACGATATTAGGAAAGGAAAAGAAGAAAAAAAATTGAAACAGCAAAGAGAAAACTAGTTGTTACTGGCTCAAAATCTCAGAAAACAAAAAAGTTGAAAAAGAAAATTAATAAAGGTGTCGAAAAGGATGAACGTTGCCCAGGATGTGGAGAATTGTACTTAGAATCTTTTGAAGATGATGAATGGATTATGTGTTCTTGGTGTAACAGTTGGTGGCATGAATCTTGCACCACATATGTAATGGGGGACTTTGTTTGTTTTAATTGTTCAGAGTGACGACTTTAAGCAGATACTACGTTTTTCATTTTTCTTTAAGGAATATTTTTTAATTTTGTATTACTTTCAATAAACTTACGTTTTCTATATGAAATCTTTTCTTTTTATTAGTAAAAAATCAAATATAACATGACGTGCAACCATATTTTGGAGAAAGATATAGTGCGTACTCTTATACATTAGCATGCGTACTCTTATGTTTGTGCATAAGAGCACGCATCTGAAGATTTTCCAAAAAATTTGAATATCTCCTTTTTTTCTTACAATATATAGCATAACATGTTTAAAACATGTTTGGCTGTGAATACTTTATATTATAAAATTTTTAAAAATTTATACTTCGCCTAAAACTGATAAATTATTTTAGAATTTTCACTAAGTGCGTACTCTTATACAACATTACCCTACATGTATTACTCATTCATATGTAGTTTCTTCCCTAATCTATATTGTAATGTTATTCAACAATTTCGCATTATTTATGCGCAAAAAAAGCGCAGGAATATTGAATCTAATAATTTTCCAAACAACCTCCAAAGTGTTCCCTTTCTTATCCTCACCTTACAATTGTTGAGTTGGCTACGACGATAACCCCATGTCATCGTTAATTTAAACAATTGGCATTGAGTCTATAAAGTAGGGGACCCAGGTACAGTTTTTTTAAGTACATTTTTACACAATGCTAAACTATAATTTTGTCGTTATTTCTTACCTTGTAGAAGATAGAAATACTTTACTACAGACGCACCAGCTATGGAGCGCTCGATGACGACTTCTTCAAAAATCCAATATAGAAAATAAAAATAGAAAAAAATTTGCTGCCATCTAGGTAGACGTGAAAAACTTTCAGGTTTAAAAAATATTCAATAGGTTTTATTTACGCAAGGCTCATTTTTTATGTGATAGAATAATATATATTATTAACGAAAATCGTTTGCTGCAGTCCTATCAGTAAGCAAGAAGGTACTATGAATCAAATTTAAAGAAAAAACGAATAAAGAGAACAAAAACGATTACAACTATTAAAGGCGGAAAAAAGAAGAGGGAACACATTAGAGGAAAGAAATATAGGAAAGAATGAAAAAGATGACTGGAAGAAAACCTATAAAATTAACCCAAATCTGACGCCTGATTGGAAAAAAGGAAGGGAGAATAAAAAAAAAAGAAAAATAGAAAAAAGCAAGAAAAAGCAAGAAAACGAAAGAAAAAGCAAGAAAAAGAAAAAAAAAAAACGAATAAAGAAAGAAAAAGAAATAAAAAGAGAGAAAAAGAAAGAAAAAGAATGAAAAAGAAAGAAAAAGAAAGAAAAAGAAAGAAAAAGAAAGAAAAAGAAAGAAAAAGAAAGAAAAAGAAAGAAAAAGAAAGAAAAAGAAAGAAAAAGAAAGAAAAAAAAAGAAAAAGAAAGAAAAAGAAAGAAAAAGAAAGAAAAAGAAAGAAAAAGAAAGAAAAAGAAAGAAAAAGAAAGAAAAAGAAAGAAAAAGAAAGAAAAAGAAAGAAAAAGAAAGAAAAAGAAAGAAAAAGAAAGAAAAAGAAAGAAAAAGAAAGAAAAAGAAAGAAAAAGAAAGAAAAAGAAAGAAAAAGAAAGAAAAAGAAAGAAAAAGAAAGAAAAAGAAAGAAAAAGAAAGAAAAAGAAAGAAAAAGAAAGAAAAAGAAAGAAAAAGAAAGAAAAAGAAAGAAAAAGAAAGAAAAAGAAACAAAAAGAAAGAAAAAGAAAGTGAAATGTTGATGGAAAAGGGAATTCTGTCTCTATTCCCCTTTTAAAACTAACAAATGTTCATGATATTACATTGTCACTTTAAGAAAACCAATTAACTCGTCCAGTATTACTTTTAAATCTTATTATTATAATATTATAGCTCTATTCCATAATCCACGTGAATTTTACTTCGCGAAAATAACTCGGCGCATAATTTCCATCCCTCACAGCCTCTTTACTACATTTTCACGCTTAAATCAAGTTTTAACTACAAATCAAATCCAAACCTTCTTAGCATAACGTAATCCGCATCGTCAAAGGAATCATTTGCATGCTCTTCTTACAATAAACATAAATTTTGGATGAGTCAGAATATTAATATTGCATTATTCTCGACGGCTTGCGCCTTTAAGCGGGTTCCAGGTTCCAGATAGTCACATTTAGAAGTTTTAAGTCCCTGATAAGCAAATTGCTTCCTGGATTAGGTTTAGTACCTAATTAATATTAACTTCTGAACCAATAATCGATCTATGTACGTAAGCTGAAATAATTACACAAATATGTTGAATGGGGCATGTTCAAAAATGTTTGAATTTTCTTTATGAATAATACAGTCAAAAATAAAGCTACATTAAATTTTTATCCCTTAATTTGCCAGAGTTACTACTTTTTTAAAATTTATGACGTTGCCGGCAATGGACCAATAGGAACTAGTGACACAACGTTGCCGGTTAGACGGTATACGAGAAGTAATATACATTCGTTTGTACCCACATTCTTACTTTTTTAAAAGTATTATTTATGTTTAAACTTTCGCCATATTTATAGTTTCATTGTTTTAAAAAAAATCACCTAATAAACAAGAAAATAATAATAAGACAGCACTGTATATGTCATCTGTCGGTACTGTCAATCAAGAATTTGTGTATTGTGTCGATTAATAATTTATTTTTATTTGGAATTTGAAAATGTATTTATAAATATTATAAATACAAAAACGTGTATTTTCTCAAAATGTGATAATTAATCACTAATGATTCATATTCATTATTAACCCTAGAACCACAACATGAGGTAATTGAAACACTAACCACAACTTGGGGTCGCCGATGACCCATTTTTGATATAGCTTCTGATCTTAGATAAAAGAGACCAGAGATATAACATACACCGGTGTTTAACCTGCGCAAATGTTGCCAATTTCTAAAGAAAGGTTAACGGAGTGGGGGAACTGGGCAGGAACCCGAACTCTGTGACAGGGACCGGACTTTGTTTATTAGCATCATAATAAACCATTAGATTTATTTAAAATATATGTTTAATTGAATTTTGTATTATGAAATAAAATTAACGTTATTTTTTAATATCAAAGAGATGCACGACATTTTATGTAAAAAGAAGACCTTTTATAGAATATTTCGTTAGCATTTATTTACTATGGACTTTTCAGAAATAGAATATTGTTAATAGAGCAAGAAATGATACTCATTATCTACGAGTATTATAAAAAAGCATGTGCGCAGGCGAATAGTGCAAATCAAACCTTTTGAGTCAAACATATTTTTTCTACGGCTATTACATAATATTAAAAATTAGTCAAAATGAGAAAATGCTGTTTTGTATTGTAACCTCAGCTTCTTTCTTTAGGAATAATAATTAATATAGAGGATGAGTGATTTTTGTAATAAATAATCGATCATTGAAAATAATCGATTATTTTCGATCAATCCATTGTTTTCAATCTATTTGTTTGTCGTATTTGCTTTAAAATAGACTACTTGATTATCTTTGAAAAATCAAAAATAATCGATTAATTAAAAAGCCAAATAACCGATAAATCAGTGTTTACAAAAAATTATCGTTTATTTTAAATAATCGATTATTTTCAAATAATCCATTTTTTTTTCGTCCATTGAAACAGATTATTCGATAATCTTTGAAAAATCGAAAATAATCGATTAATTAAAAAGTCGATTAACTGATAAATCGATTTTCAAAAAAAAAAACGAATTGTCGATTATTTTAAATAATCGATTATTTTCGATCAATCGATTATTAACAATAATTTATTTTTATTGTATTTCATTTAAAATCGATTATTCGATTATCATTGAAATACCGAAAATAATCGATTAATTAAGAAGCCGATTCTACGATAAATCTATTTTCCAAAAAAAATAACCGAATTATAGATTATTTTCTAATAATCCTTTTCATATTTCCTTTAAAATTGATTATTCTATTATCTTTGAAAAATCAAAAATAATTGATAAAAATCAATAAATCGAAAATAATAATTATTAAAAAACTGATTAACTGATAAATCGATATTTCTAAAAAATAACCAAAATATTGGTTATATAAAATAACCGATTATAATCGATCAATCGATTATTTTCATATACCTTTGAAAATTCGAAAATAATCGATTAATCGAAAATAGTCGATTATTATCAATAATTTATTTTTATTGTATTTCATTTAAAATCGATGATTAGATTATCATTGAAATACCGAAAATAATCGATTAGTTAAGAAGCCGGTTCTACGATAAATCTATTTTTCAAAAAAATAACCGAATTATCGATTATTTTTTAGTAATCATTTTCATATTTTCTTTAAAATTGATTTTTCTATTATCTTTGAAAAATCTAAAATAATCGATAAAAATCAATAAATCGAAAATAATTAATAATTATGAAAAAACTGATTAACCGATAAATCGATATTTTTAAAAAATATCCGAAATATTGGTTATATAAAATAACGAATTATATTCGATCAATCAATTATTTTCATATAAAAACTTTGAAAATTTGAAAATAATCGATTAATCGAAAATAATCGATTCATTAAAACACCGATTAAACGATAAATCGATTTTTTGAAAAAATCGATTATTTTCAATCAATCGATTATTTTGAATAAATCTACTTTCTTTTTGTATTTCCTTTAAAATCGATTATTACATTATCTTGAAATTTTAAGTTATTCATCCTGTATTTTATCTAATATTCTTATAAAAATACTACTAATCAACTATGCTTTTTTACTTCTTATTTATCTACCAAAAAGAGCAAAACCAC